AGGCTAGGGAGTGGAGTAACATGTTCCCACACATGTGTCAGGATAAGCAAGTTTGGGGTCTGGAAGGCATGTCTAATGTGGCCATCTCTCAGACATCCATGAGATGACATTACACCAGAATCCATGATGACAAGTTACATCTTGTCTTCTAATGCCCAGTCCAGGTGGCCCTAAGTCATTGGATGACTTTTGTCTCCCTACACCTGGTTTAAATACCTGGTCAACAGCAGAGTTGTAATGGGGTTTTCCAAATGCTCGTATTTTCTCCTTTGGTATTCCCTTGTCTTCAGACTCTCCAAGACTGCTGGCCAGAGCCAGATGCTATTGTGAATGTACTGCATTTGTCCAAAGGCTCTTTGTGCTTAGATGGCAATTATAGATCTGAGGGCAATCCCACAGAGGAGAAATACCCTGGCATCATCCCATCAGGGGCACCTGTTATCATGGGACTCTGTTGGAGACATTGGCCAGCCTTGTCCATGGTGGAGGGCAGATGCATCCCTTCAGGGCCACTCTTCTGCTGCTCTCCATCTGGTAGGATGACAATGAGGAGACAGGGTCCCCAGTGCTGGAGGAAAACTTCTGAGAAAGGTAAGGACCTCCTCCTCCCGTGGCACCCACAGAATAACCAATTTCTATGAGTCCTTGACCCCCACCCCATGACATCAGATTTCTGGTTCCCAGGTAGGGGTAGCCAGGGCTGGGGACAGCTGCACTCTCCTGGCTGAGGCAGATTCCATGCTCCCTGAGGCACATCCTCCTAATGAGAGACTCTCCAAGAGAGGGAGGGCCCTGCTTGTCAAGTGTGGAGCTGAGGCATGCACACAGTGACACAGCACTGTCACACATGGAACACAGCCTTATGAGTAGAGGCTGAGGGCCACCAGGGGCTGGTGTGGAGGCCAACACTGCATCTCGTTTATCTGAGACGCGATCCGACAACCCAGTCCCAGCAGGGAACTCACCCTGTACCCCGGGCTGACCCTGGGGATGGGTGCTATATGGAGCTCTTGAGGTGTCTGCACTTTTGTCCCTTCTCAGGGGACACAGTTAGGAAATACACATGTGTGTGCACACACAACACACAGACACATACATGTGCTGATGCGGTGCACACGGGCACACACACTGTCAAGTGGGCTCTTTCTCTGGGGAGATTTAAACAAACTCCAACCCCCTCCTCATAAGTGCACTAACCACGAACCAAAGTATAATTCCGAAGTCAGACTTGGGGAGCCAGTGTGTTTCTTGGACTTGGGTACAGAATGTAGATAGAGGATTACTTATGGGAGGGGACGTGACCCCAAAGCAGCTGTACATCTAACATTCTCGCCTCAACATTCCCCCTCCCCCAGTTAACCTGCTATGTTCTATATATAGTAATACCTCCACAACCCATGGGGCTATGTGCAGTTGGGGTACAACTGCATACAAATCAATGGCCAGAGAGACCAATGACCCTCCCTATCCCTCCTTCTATGGAGGAATCAACAGTCAAGCCTGATCTCGGAGGCTCATGTAATCAGTTACAGCTGTTCTGATGAAGATGCTGGCATCAGGCTGGCAGGTCACCGCTCTACAACACACACGTGGATGTGCACAACATCCACGCTCACGCACTCACGCCTCATATCCATGTTTCTATAGCTACAACGGAAACTGCAAGCTCTTGGTCACAATTCTCCCCTAAAGGGTCCCCAGGTTTACTTCCTTCCCATCTTGGACTGCTGGTTCTACATCACCCTCCTGCCCCTCCTCCAAGCAAAGAGGAGGGCAAAGGTCACAGGTCACGCACTGGGTAAGTTTAGAGCGCCAGCAGGCCTGGTTCTGCCTCCAGCTCAGAATCTGGGTAGTCCTGCCCTTTCTTTCCATGGGGGAAACTGAGGCTAAAAGTGCAATTACCTGCCACGGTCTCATGTAGAGGGTCTGCCCATCTTGGTTCATCCATTTATGCTTGCTCACCCTGGGGGGTTCTATTACAAGCCCGTGAGGTCCCTGCATAGCCTCCATGTAAGAGTGGGGTGGCTTAGGGAAGCCCCAGTTAGTCTGGCACCTGGGCAGGAGGCCCAGTGGGTGGCCCACAGTCTCCTCCCTGGTCTGGTATGCCCTCTTCTGGAGACACTGACAAGTGTGGCATGAGGCACAAACCAGGCTTTGCAGATAACTCCAGATGGTTGTGGCATAGGAAAGCCTGAGGGTTCTGCAATTGGAAAATAAACTCAGAAGCCAATACGATTTGCTAACACCAGGGGTCTTGTCCTGTGGTTACTTTAACACATCCATTATTTTCAGTTACATTTGGAAAGTTCACATTTAGAGAGCTTTCCACTTTTAGAACATCTTTGATGCCGATCTAGATCATGTTATCTATCATCCTCTTTTTGAGGGGGAAATTTCTCTTCAGATTCCAGGGTAGAGAGATACTAGCAACACATTCTCTCGGCATCTGCGAGGCTGAGAAATCGAGAAAGCCCTGCTTTTTTTTTTTTTCTGTTTTTTTTTTTGGTTTTTTTGAGACAGGGTTTTTCTGTGTAGCCCTGACTGTTGTGGACTCATTTGTAGATCTGGCTGGCTTCAAACTCACAGAGATTCGCCTGCCTCTGCCTCCCAAGAGCTGGGATTGAAGGTGTGCGCCACCACCGCCCGGCTAAGCCTTGCTCTTTGATCTTTGTTTCAAGCCAGGATATTGCTGTGTAATCCAGATCTCAACCATCCTCCTGGGATTACACCTGTGTGGGCCACCACGCTCACCTCCTTACATGAGCTCCTAACTGGTTAATCTCTTGGGCCTGAACCAATCATAATTCCTTGGAATACCCAGATCCACAGCCCCTGATTCAATGGTGCTGGCAGGCCTAACCCTTCTTGGCCCTCCAGGCTTGGAGCCTCCTGTGTGTCCCTAGGAAAACCTCTCCTTGACACCTCTGGATTCCTGCAGTTCCATCTTGACAGCATCCTGTTTGAGAACGCTGGGGGCATCTTGTTAGAGAGGGAACCTGCCTGCCCTGTGCTGTCCAAGGAATATGTCCAAGTTGAATATACTTCTGGGGTGTGCAGAGAATAGGTCCAGGCAGTCCTCAGAGAAACCCAGGCGGCGGCAGTGGGGACCACGGTGGTGATGGACTAGAGCTCAAGGTGAGGAGAGGGCTGTAACCCCTGACCTGCAGGCCAGAGGAGCCAGGTGGTGGGGTGGATGGGCAGGCAGGACAGTGGTCATCCTGGTCCTGGAGGGGTACAGGGGTGGCTACGGTGGAGTGTCTTCTGGGAGGAGGCTGGTAGCCTCTTCTTAGATTTTCCTCCTCTGCAAGTGTTGCCCCTTACTGATGAAATGCTTGATGAAAT